AGCTTATAGGTGATCCGACATGAGCTACCTAAAGCACGGGTCTTGTTGAGTAAAAATTAGTTGTAGATACCTTTTTCGAACAATAAATTGTAGAAAGTTAGTAAATTTATCAAACAATCGAACGCTTGACAACATGACGTCCTGAAGTAAAATTGTCCGTCGTTAACTACTGCGACATTTTTGGACAATCACTCCCAGGATGCAACAATTAAATCACTTATTCAACGATAACAAGCGATTTGTAGAACTAGTGTGGTTTGAATCGTTGATCTCTCACATAAATTCCACACGTTTTATCACTCTGCCAACTATTATAAATTAATTATTTATTTCAAATAAAATATATGATGTATACAGGCTGAACATAGTTTAGTTTTTTTTACACCTCTTAAGCAAATCAACAACAAAAACTAAAAACTCAAGATATTATATTCGTGTGAATAGATTTTATAATGGTGCAACTTCAGGTCCTCGGCAGAAACATGTTCTTTTTAACTAGTAATAAATACTGTTTTAGGATGCAATATATACAGTAAAGACATACTATATCGAGACTACTAGAGGTCTATATAAATTAGAAGATCGACGCAGTATTATCTACACTTCATAACATCCAATATATCAATATACAAGTCCTTCGAACTAGAAATCATCCATGTCCCGATAAAATTGAATAAGAAGACAGTACAATTCACGATCATTGAAGATTTAGGATTAAATGGGTTGTGTTTATAACATCTATTCATCCAGGTTATGTATTCATCTCAAACTTTGTATTCTTGGCTTTCAATCATCTCTAAATACTTTATTGCTAGGATTAACGATGAAACTTTGTGTTTTGAATTCATTTGAAGTTGCTCGTTTTTTTTTTTTTTAATTCTAGATTTCTGGGTTGATTATTTATTATTCTCTTTATTCCGTTTGATTCTTTATTGTTGGAGATTCGAACCCTGGTTTATGTTGCTACCTTATATTTTCATCAAAGTCGCAGTTTGTTAAAACACGGTTTTACTTATAAGCTG